CTACATACTATATTATCCATTTATATAAATTTTAAGAACAGACAAATTAACAGATGGTAATAGAAGTCTAATGAGGATTATGGACTGGTAAAAGGCACAAGGGAATCTTCTGAGTGCTAGAAACCTTTGATATCTTGATCTGATGGCCATACAGGTAATACACAAAAATTTATTGAACTGTACAGTAAAATTTATTATAGATTAACACTTAAAATATAATCTATCAAAAAAACTAAAGAAAGAGTGCCACAGGAATCTAGAGGTGGGAGGGACCATTCTGATCTAAAATGACAATGGGAAGGCTTCACCGAGACTGTGGGCTTGAGCTGGCCTTTGAAGGGTGAGTGGAATCTGAGAGACAAAGAGGAGAATCAAACAAAGTTATGGCAGAGGAAATGTATAAGGCATGGCCAAGGGATGATTTCTTTTTCCCATTTAGGATGTCACTTTCACCCAGGAAACATAATGAAATAAATACAGTACATCAGAAGCAATGTAGAGTAGCAGTTATGAGCATAGCCTTTGGGGTCAGAGATTTGTGGATTTGAATCCTGGCTCTGATGCTTTCTGGTTTGAATGAGTGTTTTGGACTGGCTTTCTCACCTGTGAAGTACGTACTTGTGGAGAGATTTAAACACAAAAATATGTGTGATGTGCTTAGCACAGTGCTTGCACACAGAGTAAGCCCTCAATAAATGGAAGTCATTACTACTACTAGTACTTCTATAACTGCCAGTCTGGGCCATCTGGTCACCTTCACTTGAGAGTGGTGCTGTCCAAGGGAAGAGGAATGGCCAAATGATCTCTTTGGGTCCTTTCAAGCCCTCAAATCTATAAAAACTAACAAAACCCAAATGGCCAAATCAGAGCAGACAAATGACTGAGGTTGTATTCTTTCAAGCCATATTGATATCATTTCCCCCTTCATAGTCTAGTCCTTGGTCATTGCTAACTATACTCCTTGACCATGCCAGCATACACCTCTGTCCTGGATAGGAAGACGTAGGATAGCCTAGGCTCTAAATGATCTTACATGTTGGTGGTCACACACACATTCACACAGAATCCTGAAGAATGTATAAAAGTCCTTTACTTTGGGTGTTCACCATACATCATCTCTTTCGAGACCACAAGGAGAGTTAGCGATGTAGGAGCATTCACCTGTTTTTCTCAGTAATAACCTTCAACCTTCCCACGCCCTGCCACCTAATTGGTTTTTTTTTTTAAGTTGAGGCAAAATTTACATGACATAAAATTAGTCATTTTAAAGTGCAAAATTGGGCTTCCCTGTGGCACAGTGGTTAAGAATCTGCCTGCCAATACAGGGGACATGGGTTCACACCCTGGTCCGGGGAAGATGCCACATGCTGCAGAGCAACTAAGCCCGGGTGCCACAACTACTGAACCCGTGAGACACAACTACTGGAACCTGCGCACCTAGAGCCCATGCTCTGCAGCAAGAGAAGACGCCGCAATGAGAAGCCCACGCACCGCAACGAAGAGTAGTCCCCGCTCGCCGCAACTAGAGAAAGCCTGCGCGCAGCAATGAAGACCCAATGCAGCCAAAAAATAAATAAATTCTGAAAAAATAAAAAATAAAATAAAATAAAAATAGTAAAGTGCAAAATTCAGTGGTACCCAGTACTACATGCTGCTGTGCCGCCACCACCTGTCTTGTTCCAAAGCATTTCACGGCCCTAAGGAAAACTCTGTACCCATTAAGCAGTCACTCCCTATTCCCTCCTTCTTCCAGCCTCTGACAACCACTAATCTACTTTTTGACTCTATGAATTTACCAATTCTGAACATTTCATATAAACGAAATCATACATACGTGACCTGCCACTTAGTTTTTTTGCACTGGTTTTCTTAGTGCTGTTTAAAAGTCTGCTCCCTCGTGATTGGCAGAGGAAACTTTTTCACACTTGAACTGCTTACATTTTCTTCCTCCTCAACAGCCCATGAGTCTTTTTACCTCTTTGCTCTCATGTCCGGGGTCTTAGTTCTTGTTAGGCTATCTACCCTTCAATCCACACAGATTCACGCTAGAGCTGTGCTGTCCAATGCTAGCCACACACCACATGGGACTATTTAGATTATTAATTAAAATTAAATAATATTAAAAATTCAGTTCCTCAGTCACACTAGCAACATTTCAAACGTTCATTAGGCACATATGGTTAGTGACCTCTGTATGGGCCAACGCAGGTAAAGAACATCATCAGAAAGTTCTATTGAATAGAGCCGCTCTAGAGGGCACTGGATCCTGGACCCCGGCAAGTAGAGAAAGAGGGCTTCATAGTGGTCTGTCAGGGAATGGAATCTCTAAAATTATTTGACCTTCTGCACTGCCCAGGACTCCTCCTGTAGGGTCACCCACTGTCTATGTGAATGGCTCTCCCTCAAATTGGGCCGTGAGCAGCCTGTACCCAATCGTGTTAGAAAAGGGTCTCTCATCCTCTGTCATCCCACCCTGCTAGGCACCCAAATCCAAGAACAAAAGGGAAGGAGAAAAAAATGCCTTCCCATCACATCTGTTTGCTATCTTAGTTTTTAAGCTCTCCAGTTGGACTATAAACCCCTTGAAGACCGTCCATACGAGGATCTCTTTACCCAAGTTCCTGACACAAACACGTCAAGCATGCAGTTGTGCACACAGAAGACACACAGCCAAGATTTGCAGATAAAGCAACTGATGGAGGGAATTCCCTCGTGGTCCAGTGGTTAGGACACGGCGCTTTCACTGCTATGGGCCTGGTCGGGGAACTAAGATCCCGTAAGCTGTGCAGTGTGGTCAAAAAAAACAAAACCAAAAACAACAGCAAAAAAGCAATTGATGGAAACATTTAGCCCAGGCTTTGTCACTGAGCTTGAGGGTACCAGTACCCCCAGGTCCCCCTGGAGGGGGTATTCTCTCCATATTGACCCCTGCTCTGCCCTCCAGTGAGGGGCTCAGGACAGAGAGAGGCAGTGGGCATTGGCACTGCACTTTGAAATGTTTATTACATCCTTTCCTCTAAGCAACTATGGCACCTGCTCATTCCCTTACGAAAACAATTATCACCTGCATTAAATGTTACCTGTATGTGTCTGCCTTTCCCAGCAGAGTGTGAAAACTTGATGCAACACTTAGCACATTAAAAGGCACTCAACAATTTAGGGTAAAAAACAAACATAAATAAATATGTTAATGAAAGAGATCCTTTTTAAGTAGGAGGTAGAAACGGCAGCTAGGGAAATAAAGACAGCCAGAATGGGTATGCTTCAAAGCAGTGCAGGGCAGAAGGAGGCAGAGGCTGGGGCCAGGGCCCTGGTTTCCCTGTGTTCCATTTCCCATGTGACGGACCCTCTCTAATCTAGCTAGACCTGATCCAACTCCAGGTAGGGAAAAGAATATGTTTCTGCTTGCAAAATAACTTGCTTTAGGAGGCAAAACAAAATGATAGCCAAACCTACACAGCAGTGAGCTGTCTGTGATGGAAAACATTAAACCCTTTTGTTCTTTAGATTTTGATCCACAATAAAACTTTCCACTAGAAACCAGCATTGACTTCTCACCACCTACAGGTCAACAGAACTTAATGAATCTTGATGTCACCTCCTCTTTCCCCACTCTTTTCACTCAACACTGCCCACCATACCCATGCATCTGCGGTCACATTCATCCCTTTGTAGCTGATTGGTTAGACTACTCTCTTCCTGTCCTTTGAAACACAGATGGTAGCACTCAGCTGTCTTATGGGTAGCAACCATGCTGTTCTTATGGTAATGGTAATGTCTGGTTTGGCAGCTCTAGGGGCGCTCAGCAGTTCCAGGTAGATCGTATGCTTTGCTTAAGGCAGCTTCCAGCCACTGGGTAACAGGGATGGGAGGAAGCCTCTAGGCTTGGACCCTCCAGCCCGGAAGAAGTTGCAATGCACCGCTTTCATGCTCCCCTCCTCCTGGAGATGGATTTCTCTCACCTTATTACCTAGTAATTAGCACTCAATCATGCTGGAGATGCCAAGCACTGCATCCTTTACCTGCATTACCTCATTCATTCATCTTGACATCTACTACAACAATCCCCATGACCAACAAGAAAGTAAGCCTTGGAGAGGGTAATTAATTTACCCAAATCCATATAAATAGTAGCTTGCTGAGTGTGAGCTGAAACCAGTTCTCTCTGACCCCTAAATCCTTGCTCTTAGCCTCGGTAGCGTAGGGCTTATGCCATGTTGCTCCTCACGTTAGCTGAGCTCTTACTAGTGTTAAAGATGAGGAAAACTGAGACTCACAAAATGTAAGTAATTTATCCAGATTCACCCAGTTTATAAGAGGTGACGCTAGGGTTCAAACTCCGGTCCAGCTGACTGCAGAACCTAGCTGTGGTTGGCTGGGATTGCCTCTTCTGCCCATGCCTTTGCTGACCCTGGTCCCGCTCTCAGCTCTTAGCAAAACCCATGCCACCTTCCCATCCTTGACTCCCATCTTCTCTGCCTGGGTAATACTCTCTGGCCCTCCTCAAGTCCTGTCTCCTCCAGGAAACTGTCCAGAAGAGAGCTCCGAAGCTCTAATTGTCTCAGCCACCCACTGGTCAGGCCTCAGTACCACTGTGCGCCCCCACGTGCACTTACATTACGTGCCATGAGCACCGACAGTGGAGGCGTCTGTGTTGCTGGGCTAGACCACGTGCTCGTTGCCCCCTCACTGCACTCTGTGCCTGGCACTCAGGCAGGGTGAACGTCTGAGGATGCTTAGTGGAAATGGTGTCAGCAGGTTAAGCAGTTATTTATTTAATGTCCACCATGTGCTGTCTGCTGTTTGAGGCCCTGTCGCGCAGGTCACCTCACTAAGTCTGTTTCAACTGCCCCTGTGTGCTCACTGGCTTCTCTCCTCACACTGTACACAGGATTAAGGCTTACGTGTCCTCGTGGGGCAAAAAGTGGTCCACCTGATTCTTACGAAAAACAGAAACAAAAGAACTTGTTCCCTGAGTTTAGAAGCAAGCAGCTACTTACAAGTTGCAGCTTGAAGAGGATTTAGGCAGGGTTCCTCGCTTCCAAACTGTCCATCCCACTGGTTGTCATTCTCTCAGACAAAATGTTTTATTCCTCCTCTGAGGTCCCTTCTAAAATGCAGCCCTTTCTCCGCCTTCCCCATGGGTATTAGGCCTTATCAGCAAACATCATACCTGGGAATCAGGAGGAACGGGACATGGGATAAGTGCTTGGGGGCAGGAAACACAGTCCAGCTCCTCAACAAGACTCAGAATACCCGTCAGGATCTGGCCCCTACCTGCCTCCCCAGCCTTATCTCTTTTCACTCTTGCCTTTGTAAGGCTATAATCCTGTGGCACCCAACTTCATACCCTTGATCATGCCCTGCTCTCTTTTGCTTTCTGGCCTTTAGACATACTGTGCTCACTTCTTTGGCTGTCTTAACTCCTATTCACCCTTCAAATTTCAGTTCAGACTCTGTTTCCTTAAGGAAGCCTTCCCTACTCATCTCAGTCTGGGTTTGATGCCCCTGCCATGCATCCCCATAGCTCCTCGTGCTTCCCGAATCGTAGCACATAATGCACTGTATAATATGATCATTTATAACCTGTATCCCCAGCTGACTGTGAGCGCCAAGGGCACAGGTTCTATGTTGGACTTGGCACCATCCCAGCACCAGACACTGCCTGGTACATAGTAGTCATTCAAAGAATATTCGATGAATGAATCAATAATCCATTGATTGGACAGATGAGTGTACTAGGGACAGACTTCCCCTCCTTCACATCAAGGAATTGCCTTGCTTGAGCCCCACGTAGTTTTCCTAACTCCAGACAAGCCCCTGCTAAAAAGTGTACTGTAGATCAATCACAAAGGACTCTGAGAATGTGCATAATTCCATGCAACCCATTCCCAAGCCTAGATGTACAACTTGGAGCACACGTCATTTTTTTTTTTTTTTTTTGCAGTACGCGGGCCTCTCACTGTTGTGGCCTCTCCCGTTGTGGAGCACAGGCTCCGGACGCGCAGGCTCAGCGGCCATGGCTCACAGGCTTAGCCGCTCCGCAGCATGTGGGATCTTCCTGGACCAGGGCACGAACCCGTGTCCCCTGCATCGGCAGGCAGACTCTCAACCACTGCGCCACCAGGGAAGCCCCGTCATTTTCTTTTGATGGGAGACAATGTGCCACTGTGCCTGGGAGTTTATGTGCCCACCTCAGAAGCTTAGACATCACTGCAGACCACCAACACCCCACTAGCATGAGCGGGGCTTCCAAGATCCTGGGAAAAGTTATAAAGGCCATCTTGGAGCCAATGGTCAGATTTCCATTGTATTGATACAAAGGTGGGAGGACAGAGACCTTCCTTTAATCCCTGAGACATGTGCTTGAGGGAGGCCAAGAACTTTGTCTGATGCAGGACAGTAATGCAGGGCATTACTATGCTTAATAGCTATGCTTAATAGCTTCCAGGAGGCACAGTCCAGGTCTCTGGGGAGAGGAACTTGAAAGAGCAGAGCTACTTTTAAAGAATCAAAAGAGTTAATCACAAGAAGCCAAGCCTTGCAAGTTTAGCTGAAACATGAATCATGGTAATGGTCACAGCTGGCTGTTATTGGGAGCTTACAATGTGTCTACCTCTGCTCTCAGTGCTTTACAAGTATTAACCATATAATCCTCACCACGCATGGTGACGAGGCAGGTCCTATTCTTACCCTCATTTCATAGAGGAGGACACTGAGGCACGGATCTGTTAGGTCACTAGCCCAGGATCACACCGTAAGTATAAAAAATGAATTAGAGGGCTTCCCTGGTGGCGCAGTGGTTGAGAGTCTGCCTGCCGATGCAGGGGACACGGGTTCGTGCTCCGGTCTGGGAGGATCCCACGTGCCGCGGAGCGGCTGGGCCCGTGGGCCATGGCTGCTGGGCCTGCGTGTCCGGGGCCTGTGCTCCGCGACGGGAGAGGCCACAGCAGGGAGAGGCCTGCGTACCAAAAAAAAAAAAAAAAAAAAAAAAGAATTTGAACCCACACACTCTGGCTTCAGAGCCTCCAAGCTTAGCTGAGATCCTTGGCAGGAGTGGAGGGGACTGGTCATCAGTGCAAATGACTGGAATGATGATCCAGTGGGGCTAAAGCTGGTTGTTGGTGGTGACCACACTGCATTCTCCTATGTAATACTCACTAAGCATTTTCTCCGCTGCGTATCCAGCACTGGTCAGGCACTGGGCACAGCCGGGTAGGTAGAATCCAGCCCCTGGCCTTGAGAGGCTCTCAGTCTCAACTGTGGACCATCCTGTGGTCAGGGCTGTGGTGGCTGAGATGTGGGAGTCACGATGGGGGAGACCTGCCCCCTGCCTGGGGAGGGTTTATGGAGTAGGGAGGCGTTCACCTAAGTCTGGAAAATGAGAGCTGTGATTCAGGCTTTATCTCTTTGCTTCCTGCTTCTGTTCAGGAAATATCTGAGGCCAAGGACTGTGTTTTACTTATCTTTTTCTCCCCAAGTGCCCGCGCAATGGAATGGCACATAATAGGTGTTCAATAAATGTATATGGACTAAATGAATGAGTAAACTGATTAAACAGAACTGATTGTAAGGAACTCCTATTTGGGAGCAGAAGCAGACAAAACAAACTTTTAGGAGATCCAGGTAGAAATAGAAACCAGAGTGAGTGATGCAGATAGGAAAAAACCCTTTGCTGAGGTTGAGCAGGTCTGCTGGAAGTCTCTGCTCCCTGTTCTGGCCCTCTCTGCTGTCTGGAAGGACAGAGGGTAGAGAGTAGTTGTTCCCTGTAGGGGCCCCAGCGATGCTGCCATTGTGTCTGGAACTTGGACAGAAAGGCAGCTTCCCAGAGAAAGTTAGCAGTGCCTGCAGTCAGATAATACACACACATCACTCCAGAAAGCCCTCCAAACACTGTAGATTTCATAACGACCAGCAGCTTCCTGCAACTCCAGCTTCCAGTCCCCAGAGTGGGACCTGCATGATTTTATCACCCACCCCAGGTCACCTTTGGGCCTCCTCAGATTATTCTCAAGGTGGGGAGGGAGTGATGAAACCCTAGGGTCAAGCTCTCTGCTTTTAACATCACCCTTGCTACCAGCACCACCAAAGGGACAATGAAAGACTTTACAAAAAAAACAACTCATTGGACACCATGATCTCAAAATTTAAAATCTGGACTAAAAAAAAAAAGAAAAACCTAAATATCTAAAAAACAAAGATTGGTTAAATAAATTATGGTATGTCCATGCAATGAGATGTTTAGCAGCCATTTAAAAAGATGGCGTAGGGACTTCCCTGGTGGTGCAGTGGTTAAGAATCTGCCTGCCAATGAAGGGGACATGGGTTCAAGCCCTGGTCTGGGGAGATCCCACATGCTGCAGAGCAACTAAGCCCGCATGCCACAACTACTGAAGCCTGCACACCTAGAGCCTGTGCTCTGCAACAAGAGAAGCCACCGCAATGTGAAGCCCGCGCACCGCAATGAAGAGTAGCCCCCACTCGCCGCAATTAGAGAAAGCCCACTTGCAGCAACGAAGATGCAACGCAGCCAAAAGTAAAAATAAATAAATAAATTTACAAAAAGATGGTGTAGATTTTCATTGACATGAAATGATATTTGAGATATTAATAAGTGAAAAAATAAGTTATAAAACAGCTCGTAGATATATATAGATATAGCGACATACAGAAGGGAAAAAAAGCCTGGGAAGATACACATCAAACGTTAAATGTTGGTTATTTCCAGGTTGTATCCTCATGGATAATTTTTATTTTGTTTTTTATCTCTATTCTTAACTTGCATACCATGAGCAATCAATGAGTAATCATAAAAGGTCTGTCTGAGTGAGACTTTTGGATGATTTTAAAAGCATACAACCTGACCCTGGGGTTTCATCAACCCCTCCCTACCTTGAGAATAATCTGAGCAGCTCAGAGGTGGCCTGGAATGGGTGATAAGATCACTCCGGGTCACACGTTGCTGATTGGAAGTTGGAGTGGCAGGAAACTGCCAACTGCAGTAAAATCTTCTGTGTTGAGGAGGTCTTTTTGGATAACAATATGTAGTTCTGATTGCAGGCACTGCTAATCTTCTCCTTTCTGCCCTAGTTTCCAGAGTCAATGGCGGCACCATCAGGTGATTGGACCTAGGGCTGGGAGCAGAGAGCCCTTCCAGGCAGCAGAGATGGTCCAAATCAGCTCTGATGAGCTTCCCCCACCTGCCAGTTTTGTTTCCTCTCCTTCTCCAGTTTAGCCTCAACTCAATCAGGGGTGAGCCTGGGCTGGGAGCAGATCACTTTACTCACCATTATTTTATTGTCTGCATTTACCTCCTGCCCAAGAGGCCAGCTCACTTTTCCAAGGTAAATTATTTAAATACAAAAACTCAGAAAAAAGATCCTCGATCTTCTCCTCCCAATTTCTCCAGGGTCTTGCCTCCAGCATTGTCTTCCTGGACATCTTCCCTAGCTCTGAGTCTGTCTTTCAACCACATTCAGGGCTCGAGTTTGGGGGAATTGGGGAACTGAGTCGAGGGTATCAGTTCCTGAAGGACCAAACCCTTAGGCTATTTAGCAAAATAAGGCTCCTCTTCCTGGCCAGGATTGGAGTGGTTTCCATGGTCATGCCAAGCCGCTCCATCAAAACGAAGGATGGGGCGTTCTTCCGCACCCAGCCCTTTTCTCATACAGGCCAACAATGCCGCATATACAGACTGTACACAGACAAATATACCGTGCCATGCGTGCAGTCATGCATACATGCAAGCTCCATATATGCACCCTCAGACATATATAGACAGATACCAGCATGCATTCTCTTGGGCATCCAGACCTATAAGCACATACACATAGATAACACACAGGCATTCACACAGGTGTTGGAAAGCACACAACAACATGCAGACACCCACAGACAACTGTGCATTCTCACACCCGCATATGTAGATACTTGCACACACACTTAATCCCACAGACGCTAGCACACATAAATCTAATACAGGTGAAGAAGGTGGCTGATGGGTTACCTATCCCTATACAGGGACCATTACCTCCACCCTGACACTGGGCTTGCTTTGTTTCATAGGAAGTTTGTGTAGAAGGTTGGCCGCCCTTTGACAGGGGGTTCAGCCCTCCTCTGCCTCCCGCTCCACTGCCAGCTTTCTCCTCCCTGTTCCCTTGTAGCCCCGTTTTTACATCTGGAGGTGTGCCTGGTCGAGGGAATGCTAATCACCATGACAGAACTGTTTCCACCTGTTTACATCCCTGCTCACCTCCCCCTAATGCCATTTCAGAGCTTGCCGAGCAGCGGGAGGAGGCCTGCTGTGCTGCTGCGGTGAGAGGGGGAAGGAATGAGCGAGAGGACAGTTGGAGTGTGAAAAGGACCCTGGCTAAGTGACTTCCCATTCCAGCAGACACACACAAGATGCACGTAATTGCTTTTAGCACAGTGGGATGGATAGAGATACAAAAGGTCAAATCAAGGATCTGTCCCATAATATCTTTGCTAAGCAGCAGTGTCAGACATTGGAAAAGCATATTCATGAATTGAGTTGTCAGAGTGTGGGGCAGGCTTTTTCAGAGGCAGCTGTGTGTTCCCTCTTTGAGGTGCGGTGATTGGATTCATACGGAGCAAGTGACTTCTCAATGCTCAACAAAGCTCTGCCTGTGAATTGGACTAAATGGTCTACTTGGCAGGCAGCTAGATAACTACGCTAAGTGAATTTCATAGTCGCTCCCACTCACCATCTGCCCAAGCCTACTGGAAAAATGCAGGATAAGGACCAAACTCCTGAGTGCGGCATTCAAGGCCCTCCACCAGCTGATGCAGATTAACCTTTCCAGGCACTCCCTAACATGAATGTTGGATGTCTACCCCCCTGGGCCCTTCTCCAATCTCTGAATGCATCAGGAGACTGGCTGCTTTAAGGACCTTGCCTGTGGCATTCCCCAGAGTGCACTGCCCCCCCCTTACCCATTCAAATCCTCCTTGTTATTCAGGCTCGACTCAGGTCCTAATTCCCCCAAACCTTTCCTTGTCCCCCTATCTAGAAGTGACCACGCCCCTCTTGGAAGGAGGAGGACAGCAGGATAACAGAGAAAGAACCCAAGTCTGGACCCTGGGATCTGATTTAATGTTAACAAGCTCACAGGGGCTAGGTGTGTTGAGACCAGCCGCTGAGTTGGGGGAGGGGAGCAGAAGCAGCAAGCACTTTGGAGGTTGTTGAAATCACCCAGGGGAGGGAGGCAGATGATTTGAACCGGGGTGCGGGGGGACAGCAGTGGAGGTGGTGAGCAAAGGTTTATTCTGTTATATTTTGAAGGTAGATTTGAAGGGAATTGCCCAGGGACTGGTTGTGGGATATTAAAAAGAGTTAAAGATGATTGCAAGATTTTTGGCCTAAGCGTTAACTGATATGCACGAGGAAAGAACAAATTTCAGTGGTAGGTATTAAGAGTCTAGTTTTGGACATATTTAAGGTGAAAAACCAGGAGAGGGTGGTTTCCTGGAAGAAATTATTTTAAGGAGAAAAGCATGATCCGTCATGTTGAAAACAGCCAATAGGCCTAGTGAGAGGAGGGCTAGGAGCTGACCATTGTGTTGAGTTATGGGGAGGCCTTTGGTGACAAGTGGCAAGTGTGGTTTTATTAAGTAGTGGAGGCAAAAGCCTGAAGTGTAGTGGTTTCAAGAGGGACTAGTGAACTTTTAAGAAGTTTTGCAATAAAGGGAAGCAGATCAATGAGGTGGAGTAGAGGGATCAAAAAAGAGTGTTTTCACAGGAAAAAAAAATGTCTTCAAAACACACTTGAGACTTCCCTGGTGGCGCAGTGGTTAAGAATCCGCCTGCCAATGCAGTGGACACGGGTTCGAGCCCTGGTCCAGGAAGATCCCACGTGCCGTGGAGCAACTAAGCCTGTGTGCCACAACTACTGGGCCTGCGCTCTAGAGCCCATGAGCCACAACTACTGAAGTTCGCACACCTAGAGCCTGTGCCCCACAGCAAGAGAAGCCACTGCAATGAGAAGCCCATGCACCACAACGAAGAGTAGCCCCCGCTCGCCGCCAACTAGAGAAAGCCCGTGCACAGCAATGAAGACCCGACGCAGCCAAAAATAAATAAATAAATATATTAAAAAAAAAAACAACACTTGCCCTCACCCTCTACTCCCTTCTATTCCTCCCACCCAGAGATGGAGAACGTTTCCAGATTGACCAAAATAATGTCCACAGTTCAGCTCTCAGTGATTGCAGGAATCCCCATCCCAAGTTTCTCTGGAAACCAGGATAACTCTTTCTTATTTTAAACCCAGTCCTGTGACTCTGGCCACATCAACCTTTCTCCTCCCCAACATCATGACCAATTTATCATTCTTCTTCCCAAATTTCTCTTCTAAAACAAAGAAGGAAGGGGGATTTTTTTCAGGAGAGTCATACGTTCTCTAGGAAGTTGTACTGCCAAATCAGAGAGGTTTTCCTGGCAACTTAAAAAGATATAACAAATAATTTTAAAATGTAATGTTCTTCTCTATAGGAAAAAAAATCTCTGCCATATCAACCGCAGAGATGTTAAGTGCATTTTCAGTTTTCAGAAAATACACTGTGTGTCAGGTACGTAATTTCATTAGCCTGTTGTGTGGAGCAAGCTATTGTGAGGTGGTCTGTCATGTCTCCATTATTCCCAACCCCTCCTGGAGTTTAATCACATTCAGGGCTATTTGCAACTATGGTTTCCCATTTCAAATCACATTAGGCTAAAATTAAGCCTATAACTTATACTTTGGGATGTAAACATGCAACATTTTCCATCAGCATATTCCACTGGTAAGTCGCTTCTGTGCGATGTCAAAGAAAAAAGAACAGAAAGATATCCAACTTGGTGTGAAAACTTGAGAACCCCTGACTTTGTAATTTTTCCCGAAGGTCATCTCCCGTAGGGAGATAACCGGGGGCCGCTCATCTTTCACTGGCTGTGTGGTTGGAATCCTGTCAATTTCATACCGATGTTTGTGAAAAGGTCAGCTGCCCCTCTCAAGGTGACAGGTCTTTTTGAAATGGCAGTTTGGGCGTGGCTCCTGGGTTCCTTGTGGTCTCGGGCTTCACAGAGAGCTGCCAGTCAGAGTTGCACAGGTTGTGAATGACGCCTTCAGCAGTTGTACAGTGTACCTACACAACTATACAGCTCTGCTGCAGAGAGCTTACACGAGTGGAAGAAGAGAACGACAGAGTGCAAATACTTGGAGTTTCTTATACAACAATGGTCCTGCCTTTACTGCCACTGCGTCCCTCTCTGCTCCATTCCAGTGGAGAGGGCTGAGGGCCCTCAATGTGCCACTGTCATCATGCTGTTCAAAAATATCCCACGTGTGATGTCGACTGTGGGTTTGCAATCGTCATGTACACAGGAAACCACAACACAACTGTGGGCTTGCTCCACTCCTGTGTGCTCAGAAAAATGGCTCCCAGGTCCCCACACAGGAAGCACCAGAACCTCGTGATAGCCAGAGAGCCCGTGTCCTGCCTACCCCCAGCCAAGGCCGAATTGCCAGATACCATTGCTTGAGAAGTACCACAACACCCAGCACTCAGGAGCCCCTTCTCTCTCCTCTCTTCTCCTCCCCCACGGCCTCCTTGGATTTTTCCTATAGTTTTGCCTTCTCTGCAGAATGCTGGCTCCATCATGGAGAGTACTCAGTTCCTTGAGGTCCCTGAGGAGGTTTCTGGTCCCTCAGAGGGAAACATCTACAAGGTAATAGCCCTCCTCTTGTTAATATCAATCATGTCTGACCAAAGACCCTCGTCATGGACTGAATGTGCGTGTGTGTCTCTCCCAAATTCATACGTTGAAACCCTAATCCCCAATATGATGGTATTTGGAAGTGGGGCCTTTGGGAGGTAATTATGGTTAGATGAGGTCATGCGGGTGGGATCTTGATGGGATTAATGCCCTTATAAAAAGAGGAAGAGACACGAGATCCATCTCTCTCTCCCTGCCACGTGAGGATACAGGGAGAAGGCAGCTGTCTATAAACCAGGAAGTAGGCTTTTACCAAGAACCTGACCATGCTGGCACCCTGACCTCAGACTTCCAGCCTCCAGAACTCTGAGAAATAAATGTTTGTTGTTTAAGCCACCTAGCCTATGGTATTTTGTTATAGGAGCCCAAGCTAAGACAACGCTTTCCCAAGAGGACTGAGGAGAAAGAAAAATCCCATTCTAGCCTGGAAAGTTCTTTCTTCTCTTGACCTAAATCTGACTTCTAGCAGGATTAGGTCCTAATTTTGCCCTAAGGAACAATACATATGTGACCTCTGCCCTTCCCACCTTCATCCTTCATGATTGAAGCTCACTGTCATGGTTCTCTTTAGTATTTTCTTCTGCAGGTTGAGTTTCCCTAGTTCCCCCTCTGAATGGCCTGGTTCTCAGATGTTTCACCACCAGAGTCAGCCTGTCCCTCATCTACCATGTTGATGTGTCTTACAGAACCCAGGGCCCAGAAGTGACCGCTCTCCCAGATGTGGTTTCATGGGAGCAGTCTCCATCTATTTTCATGTGCATCTATTTTCATGTTAGAATTTTATTTGACATAAAGTGGTTGGGGGGATAATATAGTGCTTCAAGGACTGACTTTTTAAAAATAGACTGGATTGGTACATAGGCAGAAAAAAAGACTGGAATTGAGCTATTACTCTATGGGATGTGTTTTTCAGTGACTCACATGGCTTTGGCACATGTCTCTGGTAACATCTATTAGAAGATTTGATCAGCCCTATGTGACCTTCAGCAGATCCTTTCCCCATTTTTGGTCTCAACAACCTCATCAGAAAAATGGGGGTGTTTATCTGATGATACCGTCATCTATTTGATGATGATACCTTCATGATTGGTTCTTTCTTCAGGGCCCAGTGTTACCCAATACTGAAGTGCACCCACCCAGCTCTGTGACCCACAGACACATAGTTGGAGCTGCAGGACCAGCTACCTGGAGGGAGGAATGTGGTGAGACAGAGGGGTGGGCAGAGGCAAGAGGGAGGCTAATCCTTGGAGTCCAGGACCAAGAGGCCAAGGGCACTAACAGAGGAAGGACCAAGGTCCAGTCTTAGTTCCCATATCGGAGCCAGGCTAAGTTGGAAATTAGGGACAGAGGAAAAAGGTCGTTTCCCCACTTCCCTTCTTGCATGTCTGTGCCAAGGCAGGAGAAACCCTTTATGGATGATGATCTTCCTTCTATGTGTGCTCCTGCTGGTGTGTCTCTCTCCTCTCCAGTGGTATCTACTCACAGTGGCATTTCTGAGAGGAGAGAGAGGGTCTCCATCAGCATAAGGAAGGTGGGTTGACACGCCCCAGAGACGTCCTAGTGGCCACGCCCCAGAAGAGCTGAGTCTCAGTTTTAGCTTCCTCCATCCATCCTGGCCCCTCCCCCTTAGCTTGACCCAGAGCTTCCACTTTAGAGAGAGTAAGTTACCCTCAGTCACTTTTCACAAGACCAAATCCTACCACTTAAACGTGACTCTGGAAGGAGACAGCACTGCCTTGTTTTTCACAGCTTCACTGCAGTGATCTCTGACCCTGGGCTGTTCCCTGTTCACTGAGCTGATTCTTGCTTCAGAGTCTCTGCTGCGTCCTCAGCCAGCCCTGTGCCCTCCCTCCTGCCCTCCCAAGTCCTCCATCCTCAAGATGTGGAGCCGTTATGAAATCTTCTCTGATCTAATCTAATCTCCAACAAGCAGCCTCTTTTGTTGCTTTTTCTCTGTGACAAACCTGATTTATCCTGATGTGTCGAACTTTGGGCCACTGAGGCCATGCTGACCTCTTTGGGGAGCTCGGCTTTTGTGATGCTTGGGAAGCCCCTCTCCTGAGGACTGTATCAGCCTATTCTGCATCACATTTGAGCCCATTTTTTCTAAAAAGGACCTGGGAAGGCCCCCCATGCTGTGAACATCTCTCCTTTTTTAGGGTGTCTTTCAGCCCTCCTGCCTGCCAGGTAAGAGCCAGGGGCCAGAGGTAGGGTGAAAACCTCACCTACCTGATGTTATATCGAACAGCAGTTAGATGAGTCATTTAGACACTGGACATGCTGACAAAAGGGGCAAAACATGATGTATCATATGTTTTGTTACATTATAACCATATATCATATATCATATCATATCATATCATATCACATCATATCACTTTATATTAGTTTGCTAGGGCTGCCATAACAAAATACCCTAGACTGGGTGACTTACACAACAGATATTTATTTGCTCACCATTTTGAAGGCAGAAGTCCAAGATCAAGGTGTCAGCATGTTAGGTTTCCTCTGAGGCCTCTCTGCTCGGTTTGCACACAACCAGCTGCCCTTTTGCTGCCTCTTCCTGCAGCCTTTACTCTGTGCATGCACCCCTGGTGTCTCTCTGTGTGTCCAGATCTCCTCCTCTTGTAAGGACACCAGTCAGATTGGATTAGGGCCCATCCTAACAGTTTCATTTTACTGTAATCACCTTTTTAAAGGCCTTATCTCCAAATACAGCCACATTCTGAGGTTCTGGGGGCTAGACCTTCAACATATGAATTCTGGGGGGGACAGAATTCAGCCCATAAAAATATTACTCCCCAATCCCATAATCAACTTGCACTGAGGTCACAGCAAAAAGAACTGTCTCAAGTTGCAGCGTGGAAAGGTTCAGGCATATCCCAAGTTCAGATCCTGGGGTGGAATCTCAACAGGCAATCTAGAAAATATAATACATTTCCATTCATTTGGGACCCTTTTCAGAATTAGGAGGTTAAACTAAATGATTATTCAGTTTCAACATTAATTCATTTGATCAACCATTCATTTAAAAAACATTCACTGAGCCCTCACCTTGTGCCAGACACAGGGAATCCAGAAGTAAACCAGTGAAGGTTCTTGTCCTCAAGCAGGACTTATAATGATGTCTAAACCCTGGGTTTAGGGTTAGGTTGGATGGGAGGAAAGCAGGAGCAACCAAAAGAAGGAGTGTTAAGAATGCTATGAGGCAACTGAAGGAGATTAAGAGGTACAAACTTCCAGTTATAAAATAAATATATAAACTAATCGTACCTAATTAAACTCACAAGCTTTTGCACAGCAAAAGAAACCAAAAGCAAAATGAAGACAGCCTACGGACTGGGAGAAAACATTTGCGGTGCAACCGACAAGGGATTGATTTCCAAAATACACAAACAGCTCATACAGCTCAATAACAAAAAACCACACAATCCAATCAAAAAATGGGCAGAAGACCTAAACAGACATTTCTCCAGAGAAGACATACAGATGGCCAACAGGCAATGAAAAGATGCTCAACATTGCTAATTATTAGAGAAATACAAATCAAAACTACAATGAGGTATCACCTCACACAGGTCAGAATGGCCATCATCAAAAAGTCTACAAATAGGGCTTCCCTGGTGGCGCAGTGGTTGAGAGTCCGCCTGCCGATGCAGGGGACACGGGTTCGTGCCCCGGTCCAGGAAGATCCCACATGCCGCGGAGCGGCTGGGCCCGTGAGCCGTGGTCGCTGAGCCTGCGCGTCTGCAGCCTGTGCTCCGCAACGGGAGAGGTCACAACAGTGAGAGGCCCGCGTACCGCAAAAAGACAAACAACAAAAAAAAAAAAAAAGAAAGAAAGAAAAAAAGTCTACAAATAATAAATGCTAGAGAGGGTGTGGAGAAAAGGGAACCCTCCTACACAGTTGGGGGGAATGTAAATTGGTGCAGCCACTATGGAGAACAGTATGGAGGTTCCTTAAAAAACTAAAAATAGAACTACCATATGATCCAGCAATCCCACTCCTGGGCATATATCCAGAAAAGATGAAAACTCTAATTCAAAAAGATACATGCACCCCAATGTTCACAGTGGCATTATTTACAATAGCCAAGACATGGAAGCAACCTAAGTGTCCATCAACAGAGGAATGGATAAAGAAGATGTGGTATGTATATACAATGGAATATTACTCAGCCATAAAGAAGAATGAAATAATGTCATTTGCGGCAACATGGATGGACCTAGATTATCATACTAAGTGAAGTAAGTCAGACAGAGAAAGACAAATATTATATGACATCACTTATATGTGGAATCTAAAAAATAGTACAAATAAACTTACTTACAAAACAGAAACAGACTCACGGACATAGAAAACAAAGTTATGGTTACCAAAGGGGAAGGCGGGAGGAATAAATTGGGAGTAGAGGATTCACAGATGCACACTACCGTATACAAAATAAATAAATAACAAGGATTTACTGTACAGCACAGAGAACTATATTCAATATCTTATAATCGACTATAGTGGAAAAGAATTGAAAAAATATATATATATACATATATGTGTGTATATATATGTATAACCAAATCACTTTGCTATACACCTGAAACTAACACAATATTGTAAATCAACTATACTTCAATAAAAATAAATAAGTAAGTAAGTCACAGGGATGTAATGTACGCATAGGGACTATAGTTAATAATACTGCAATAACTTTGTATGGTGACAGATGGTAACTAAACTTATCTAGAAAATTAAAAATAATAACAAAAAAAGAATGCCATGAGTCTTGAATGTTAGTGAAACCACAGACCTCGCCCAGGGTCAGCACAGGCTTGTACATTTCCTTCCTGGCCCTCAGCAGTCCTTACACTCAGCAGGGGCTTCTGTTTGATAGAAGCCTGCATAAAGTATAACCTCCCAGGTTTGGGACATCTGAAAGACCTTGCACCTTCAGCCAATCCGAGGGAAGCTGGAGACATTTCTAAGTCCCACACCTGGGACAAACAGGTGTGAGGAGGGCCCGGTTGGCACCGCAGGGGTGTCACAATGGCCACAAACCATGAGTTTTGGGATCCTGTGGGCCCCGACATTGATTCCATTGCAACTGCAGACAGGCAGGCAAGAGTTCCCAAATCAGACACCTCTTCCCCTCACCTCACACCAAGGCTTGGTCACACCTTCCCTGGGGAGCCCACTAAATGCCTGTGGGATCTGTCCCAAGGGTGCGGCTGCCGGAAGCAGAAGCAGGGCTGCCAGGGCCATTTACTTCCATCTAGAAGGTAAGCCTGCCATCTAGTGTCCAAGTATGGGTAGCGCAGGGGCAAACGCTTTCCTCGCTCTGGGGGCTGCATTCAGCCTGCAGCATATTCTTTGGCCGCCCTCCATGAAGGCAAACCACTGTGCTTTCAGAGTGGATTTGATTTTTTAGAAACAGCTTAAAGTCATGCAAAGCCAAATGGTTATTGGTGGGAATTTGAAGAATAACACAGGTTTTCCTCTGTGGTTTGTAACCATCTAAAGGCAGGTGACTATTTTGAAGAATATACATATATATTTTTTAAAATTAGCGTCTTGAGGGGACTAAAAGTCTCACTGTTTTAAAACCCAACAATGTGTACCGTGAACTCTTACTATGGTACATTTTTATACAGAATTTAAAATACATCTCCCCCAGAAATGAATGTTGGTGCCATTTTTTCCATAATAAAGAATGGTCTGTATGATTTACTCACCTGCTGAGTAGGGAGCTGTCTATACAACCTGATGGATCCCAGTCTCCCCTCACATCCTGGTCCCTAAGAGCTGAGTATTAATCCCAGAATTGCCTTCTGCCTGCAGGACCATTCATCCTGGGGCTTTCTTCAAAAGACTTCTGATGGGGGAAAGGGCTAATGGAGGTACACGAGGCAGGAGATCAGCTCTGTTTCTATTTCTCAAAGAAGGTGTGGAGCCCAGTGTCCAAACCAGGGGAGAAAAGGGCCCAGAGTCCATCTGAGGACACAGAGGAAGCACCAGAAAGTTAAAGCACCAGAGACTCAGACATTTGGTCCCTAGGGCCAGTGGTTGAATGGCTGCTGCTTCCTTGAAAAGCAGGAGAGCCAGGGCCCCAGACTGAGCCTGACTCGGGTGGGAGAGGCTAAAGAGAGCCCTCTCCAAACCAGCAAAGCCAGTCTCTGGTGGTCAGGCCTCAGGTTCTGAGAGGCCTTCAGCTCCTGGTGTCTTAGGAAGAGGCCCCCCCGCAATTCCTAGAGCCCCCTTTTCCTGGAGCACAAGGTGGACCCATCTCTAGGATACTTGCTGACTTCAACATTATCTGAACACAAAGGGTCACTTCAGTTGAAATGAGCCTGGAATTCAGGCCTGACCACCAGTGTAGTTAGGAGAGTTAACTGATCTTTTTAAATATGGAACAAGGCCAGGAAAACAGGACACTCACTTGACCCTGAGCCCCTGGCACTTACATTATTGCCTTTATCAGCAATATTCTGGAACTAGAAGAGTGCCAGCTAATAAGTGCAGAAGGAATAAAAGAATTTTTAGGGACTTCCCTGGTGATCCAGTGGTTGAGACTTCACCTTCCAATGCAGGGGGTGTGGGTTCGATCCCTGGTCGGGGAGCTAAGATCCCACATGGCTTGTGGCCAAAAAACCAAAACATAAAACAGAAGCAATATTGTAACAAAATCAATAAAGACTTTAAATGGTCCACATCCAAAAAAGTCTTAAAAAAGAGGCATTTTAATAAAAAAGAATTTTAAAAAATCACTAATACTCCAAATGAAATAATGGGTCTAGGTAAAAATCATCAATAGATGCTAAGACCATCAGGTGAAAGGTTAATGGGAGCTTTGTGGGCTGACACTACTTAAACCCAGTCATCAACCTTGGCATCATTAAAAGTGAAACAACCAGATACTATATGCCTCAGAGTAATAGCACCACACTACGAAGTACTGGTGCCAAAATATTGATCTTGAATCTAATCAAGACCCTGGATATAACTACCAGTTTATAGGAAATATGGAGGATAGAGGAACATATTACTTGATATCACTTGGTATTACATTGATATTACATACCTGATTCCACAGGAACGCAATCGGATGAATACAGAACACAAGATATTACACAGAACAAATTACCTGGTTCCTCCTCAAATCAATGGTGAGGGTGGACTGCTTTAGAATAAAAGAGACCCAAAAGACATGACTGTATGCAATACATGGATTTTGAAAAAAACCAACTCTAAAAAGATGTCTGGGATAATCAAGAAATTTGAACACAGATTGGGTTTAGATGAGGTTGAGAACTGTTGTTAATTTTGTTAGGTAATAATGACACTGTGGAATGGAAAAAGTCGTATCAACTGGAGATACAAACTGAATGAAAGGTACAAACTGAAATGTTTCAGCTATCTAATATTTGCTTTAAAGCACACTAGCAGGAAAAAAGGGAGGGATAGATGAAACAAGATTGTCAAAATGTTGATAATAATTGAAGCTGGGTCATGGGTACATGGAGGTTCTTTTTATTCTAATTTTGAGTATGTTTAGAAATTTCCAAAATACAGACACACACACACACACACTGTGGTGTCCTTAACCCCTGTGCAGATCTAAGTTCATATCATATTATGTAAAACTCAGCCTCAGTTTGGGGTTTGAGAAGAATAGGTAGACTTACACAGAAGCGGCAAGGAATAACCATGGAGAATTTTGTGAGACTCTTCCTTCAAACATTTTGGATTTGAAAAGACAATTGAAAACAATGAGAGAGCAGTACATACCTATTAGAATGGCCAAAACCCAAGGCACTGACATCATCAAATGCTGGTGAGGATGTGGAGCAACAGGAACACTCATTCCTTGCTTGTGGGAATGCAAAATGGTTCAGCCATACTGTACGATACTATAATGATGGATACAAGTTATTATACATTTGCCCAAACCCACAGAATGTACAATACCAAGACTGAACCTTAATGTAAACTATGGACTTGGGGTGATAATGATGTGCCAATGTAGATTAATCAATTGCAACAAATATAACACTCTGGTGGGGGATGTTGATAACGGGGGACCTTATGCATGTGTGAGAGCAGGGGATACATGGGAGATGCCTGTACTTTCCATTCAATTTTGCTATGAACTTAAAACTGCTCTAAAAGATAAAGTCTATTTTTTAAAAAAGGCAACTGAAATAATCTTTTAAAAAAATATTCTACAGTCTCCAAAATGGACAAAAGACTTCCATGTGAGAAGAATCTAATAAAACGCTTTATCTTGGCAGTGCTGGGGACTGGCTACTAACTTAGCCAATATAACCAGCACCTCCCACAGACAAACAAGCAAAGATGTCTTTAGGGCATATCAACAAGCGAGAACACAGAGGAACACATGAACACGTGTGCTGACACATCCAAGGCACAAACTACACACATGTATACTGACCCTACCACAGACACTAGCACAGCCACCAGGACGTGTGTTAAGTGTCCAAATACTCACAGAACATGATAACTTACCCCTTCCCAGACAGTGCTGAAATATAAATCCAAATACAAACAAATTCAGCAGTACTGAATATTAATGCATGGCTAGATAGAGTGGAAAAGCTTTGGAAATGAAAACAAAATTCTCAAACATCCATGCTAGTAATCCTGGAAGATCTCTATTAACTTGAGGGTAAATTTAAAGTCACGTCTCCAAAAAAAAAAAACACGTCAAAAGAAAAAAGATAGCATTTGACTTTCTTGTGCTTAGTTCCTCTCACACCACACTTTTCCTCTAGGAAATCTAACCCAAAGCCTCATTCAGTGCCTGTGTACTAGTCACTCGAATTCCTCCTCCCTAGCGCACACCTCTCTCTAAGCTGCAGACCTGTATTTCCAGCTGCTCATTGGACATTTCCTCTTGGTAATTAAGGTGCAGGCTAAGTTTATTTCTCTCCCATGTGGTAGATGGCCCAGGGCAAGTTAGATGGCTCTGTCATCCTCAACATATGCTTTTCATCTCGGAGTCCAAGGTGGCTATTTCAGTTTTGGTTATCTTTCAGCCAGAGGAAAGGAGAAGAGTCCAGAGAATTCATGCCCAATCCTTCTAAGACACGCATCACTTCTTGGACTTCCCTGGTGGCGCAGTGGTTAAGAATCTGCCTGCCAACGCAGGGGACATGGGTTTGAGCCCTGGTCCGGGAAGATCCCACAGGCCGTGGAGCAACTAAGCCTAGGCGCCACAACTACTGAGCCTGTGCTCCAGAACCTGTGAGCCACAACTACTGAGCCCACGTGCCACAACTACTGAAGCCCACGCGCCTAGAGTCCTTGCTCTGCAACAAAGAGAAGTTACCACAATGAGAAGCCCACTCACTGCAATGAAGAATAGGCCCCACTCGCTGCAACTAGAGAAAGCCCGCGTGCAGCAACGAAGAGCCAACACAGCCAAAAATAAATAAATAAATAAATTTATTTATTTAAAAAATAAAATAAAAAAGAGTGGATATACGTATAACTGATTCACTTTGCTGTACAGCAGAAACTAACACGACATTGTAAATCAACTATACTCCAATAAAAATTAATTTAAAAAATAAAATAAAATTACAAATTATATGCATTATCTTAAAAAAAAAAGACACACATCACTTTTTCTCACATCCTATTGGCCAGAGTGTGGTCACATGGCCGATCTCTGCAAGGGAAGATGGGAAGTAAAGTCTTTAGCTGAGTGGCCATGTGCCAGCTAACACTATCTTTGCAGAAGAAGGGCAGAAAGGTATTGGGGGTTAATCAGAAGTCAGATATATCCCTTGGATATCTGAAACTCAATATAAATAGAAGTAAACTCCTCATCTTCTTGGCCCCCTCTCCCATGTCTATGTCTCCTCCTCTAATCCCCAGCTTGATAAATGACCCAACATTTATCCAGTCACCTAAGTAGGTTTGCCAGATTAAATAAAGGATTCCCAGTTAAATTTACATTTCAGTTAAACAAGGAATCATTTGGGAATTCCGTGGTGGTCCAGTGGTTAGGACTCCAAGCTTTCACTGCTGAGGGTGCAGGTTCAATCCCTGGTTGGAGAACTAAGATCCTACAAGCCTTGTGGTACAGCCAAAAAAAAAATAAACAAGGAGTTATATTTTTGGTATCAATATGTCCCAATATTGCATGCATTTTTATTTGATGAATCTAGCAACCCTAAACCGAAGCCAGAAGCCTTGAAGCCATCCTGAATACCTCCCTCTTTTCCCATTTTGAATTGTCTTCCAAATACTGCTGATTCTTTTCTACAGTATTTCTCAATCTGTCCCCTCCCCCTCCACTGCGCTTTCCCTGGTGTGGGCCATCACCCCCTCTCTCAGATACTTCTGTATGGCTTCCTTCATGGCCTTCCTATTTCCAGCCTTGCCCCTTCTAATACGTGCTGTGCACAACAGGTAAACTAGTCTTTCTAAAAGGTAAACCTGACCACACCACTCCCCTGCTTAAAATTCTTTCATTCCATTGCTCCCCATGGCTTTCAGGATAAACTTATTAGCCAGGCTGACAAAACTCCTTGATCTTTTGGCTTCTCTCTCCCCCTCTCTAGTCCCATCTCTCTCAGCATCTAATCTGTTAGTCCTGAGAGATGATCCAGTCACATCGAGCCTCTGGGAGCCCTATAAGACTATCACTCTGATCCTTTTGATCATGTATCTCCTCCATACAGCAAGAGCTTCTTACTCGTACTGCCATCCCCACACACCCTATTCTCCTTTGCCTGGCTAAACCTTACTTATTCTGAAAAACCCAGCTTAAATGTCACCTTCTCCTTACTTATTGTTTCAGGCACATATTTTTGCTCTCATAGCCCTTGACAGACGCTGTATTGTAATAGTTGACTTATCTGCATGTCTCCCCAACTACATTTTAAGTTCCTCCAGAGCAAGGACTATGTCTTATTTATTTAATTACTTATTTATTTTTGTCAGAGTTTGGAGCAGAGAAAGGTTTATTGCAGGGCCAAGCAAGAAGAACAGGGTGGCTCGTGCTCAAAAACCCGTGAACTCCGAGTCTTATTTCTTTTGATATATTCAGCAACTGATACAGTAATTAGCACTAGTAAACAAACATTTATTGGCTGAATGATAGTCCTTTGGCTTAAAATGTTCCTGCTCCCATCCCTGACTGGTCCAGCCGCTCTCAGCTGGACAGTTTCCTCCATTTTCGGATGTGAAATTTTCTGCATCAGTCCTAAGCCTGTTGTATCTCTATCCTCACTGAAACTCTGGGCTTTGTTTTCTATGGCTCATCCGTGATGAAAAAGCTTCTTGTCCACTCCATTACGCTCCTACCTAACGGATGTTGAAATAAAGAAATGACACCTTACCGAATGAGGCCCTGGCCAGTTCCCCTCCCAAGCTGAGTTTCAGATCATGATTCCAGCTGACATCAGGCAGCTGTTAGATGAGAGATTTTCTCTTGCCCTCCCAACCCCCATGATTTGCCCCCAGTCCTCCCTCATCCCTGGGGAAATGACTTCTCTTTTTTTTGTTTTGGGCCACATCAGCATTTCGCAGGAGCAGGCAGCCATGCCTTGTTTGAGTTGTGATCTAACACCAGCTGACAGGTGGGTTTCAGGGGTGTCTCTGGGGCCGTGGCCTGCTTAGTGGATTTACCACTCTAAACGCAATTACAGGAGACTTTCAGGCTCCACGGGCAATTCCAGTCCCTTTTTGATAAAAACTCTGGTGAGTAAATAAGTCATGATGATGATAGGGTCCTGTCATTTAATATTCATTGAAGTACACAAGTTTGGAAATTGGAAGCAGAGTTTAATCCATTTTCATATTTATAGCAACGTGCAGCTTTAAAAAGGATCCCTCCTTTTCTCCAGCAATCTTGTCGATTTCTCTTTTGGAACGATAAAGATAAACTGGCCACAAATTTTGTTGTTTTAAAAAATTAGAAATATCTGAAGTTATAATTATGAAAGTGTGAGCTTCGAATCTGTTCATCTTCAACTCAGAACTAATTCCTGCTTTTCATTTGAACTCGTGGGAGAGGTAGGTAACAGATAAATCTAAGTTGTTGCCGTTTCCGGCAGCTAGATTTTTGGATTTAACTTTGCTATTGGAGCTCAGGGATTATAGCCAGCCTAAGTAATGCAAAAACACCCCCACTTTATGTAAAGGTAACAGTCACAAAATCACACTGTTCATGCTCACCAATAAAAGTTACAGGACTGTTCAAAGAGGGAGACTTAAAACCTGGGGAGAAAGAGTTAACAGTGAAAAGTGTGGGGAATTGTGGTGCTGCCTGCCTCATTCCTGCTTCTTCTTCTTTTTTTTTTTAATGTGGATGAATGTTTAAGTATGGTGCTGTAGTTGAAGGCATCTCTTTTAATAATGCAACACACAGCTTCCTGAGGGGACAGCAGTTGATTTGGAAACTGAATATGGTGCACTCTAAATTCTCCTCCCCGAGGAAAGTTGACTAACTGATAAGTGCCATGAGCTAGCATGGGGACTCATTCTGTCAAATCAACTTGCTGGAAAGGCACTATGCAGAATCTCCTCCAGTCTCCGGGAGCTAATGTGAGCAGACACTTGTGACATTAGACAGTGCAGCAGACCTGGCATAAAGGAAAAGTTCACCATTCGCCAACAAGGTGGTCTTTAGATGACAAGGATAAAGAAATCAGTGCAAATTTGTTAATGTAACAACTTGGAAAAGTGTGCTTCAAAAAAAAAAAAAGCCACCCTATGGGGAGAGAGGATCAAAAGAAAAAGAAGGCAAGAACAGTACTTGGAAGCTTTCTTTGGGCTTTCTGCACCTTTGGGGCCATTGCCTTTTCTCCTCGTCCTTCTTCTAGGCTGGGGTATCTTCAGTTAAGTGAGTGAGTCCCAAACTTTGTCATTCCATAAGCCATTGCTCCACCTGAAACCAAATAAAGTAAAAGAGAAGTAAGGAAAGGAAAAGCAAAGAAAAGAGAGTTCTTGTGCCTTTGCCATTCTGGAGTAAATAACAGCTTTCCTATTTGAGATGGGTGATCACCTCACTTTCTCCAAGTGAGAATTCTTTTTTTTTTTAAGGCGATCATATATTTAATTTAGTTATTCATTTATTTTTGGCTGTGTTGGGTCTTCGTTGCTGCGCGTGGGCTTTCTCTAGTTGTGGCTCGCGGGCTTTAGAGGGCAGGCTCAGTAGTTGTGGCGCCCGGGGTTAGTTGCTCCGCGGTATGTGGGATCTTCCCGGACCAGGGCTCGAACCCATGTCCACTGCATTGGCAGGCAGATTCTTAACCACTGTGCCACCAGGGAAGTCCCTAAGTGAGAATTCTTCCTTGTCTGATCTTGGCGTACTAGTCCTGGAGGAAACCTGAAGTGATTATTACCTGGCAAGAGATATGGTGATAAGAGGATGTTACCTCTGTGTCTGTCACAAAATATAAGCAGATGCCCAAAACTGGATCAAGTATTTTAAGAATGAAACAACACTACAGGGGGAAAAATGTAGTTATCAATAACATATAGACAAATTTGATTGTGTTGAGTGTCTGATTCACAGAGGTGGTTTTGCCAGGTTTTTCCTCCTTGGTTGAGTCAATTTAATCAAAATGGAAATTTGATATAGCATACTTATTCCATATTTAAATTAGAAAAACATGACATGCTTTTGAGTATGACCTGCTACATCAGCTCTTCCATGGCAGCTGTGAGAGCACAGGTTCTAGAGAAAAACACCCTGAGTTCAGCTCCTGCCTCTGCCACTTAATAGTTTGTGATCTTGGGAAAATTGTTTAAGAAAAACATTTACCTCATAAGGTTATTCTGAAAACACCTGCCTCATAAGAGTATTATAGGGCTTCCCTGGTGGCACAGTGGTTGAGAGCCCGCCTGCTGATGCAGGGGACACGGGTTCGTGTCCCAGTCCGGGAAGATCCCACATGCCGCGGAGTGGCTGGGCCCGTGAGCCATGGCCGCTGAGCCTGTGCGTCCAGAGCCTGTGCTCCGCAACGGGAGAGGCCACAACAGTGAGAGGCCCCCGTAAAGAAAAAAAAAAAAAAAAAAGAGTATTATAACATCAGTGAATACATGGGACTTCCCTGTTGATCCAGTGGTTAAGACTCCACGATGCCAATGCAGGGGGCCTGGGTTCGATCCCTGGTCAGGGAACTAGATCCCGCATGCTGCAACTAAGAGCCCACATGCCGCAACTAAAAGATCCCACATGCCGCAACGAAGATCCCATGTGCCACAACTAAGACCCAGCGCAGCCAAATAAATAAATATTTTAAAAAAGATAACATCAGTGAATACATGTGAAGTTCTGAGATCAGTGTCTGGGAAATACTAAGTACTCTATAAATTTTGCCCATGATTATTATGTAAATGAATCTAAATGGGTTCCCATAAGTTCTCAATGATTATAACTAAAAAGAAGAGTTCTATGGTCAGATAAGCTTATGAATCAGGTTTAACACAATTAAACAATTTTTTTTAAACCATAGTATTTCTCAGAGCCTTCCCCATGCAAATGTGTATTATAAATATCCAAGGAAGAATTTACTTCCTAATTTTTTTCACAGCCAGTGCCATTCCCCAAGTGAAGGAACAACAGTATTCACAACCTCTGGTTCAGAAGTTAAGAAAATTGTTGAGTCGTGGTTGCCTGAACCACTAGGATGGAAATTTAAAGCGTACTGAGTAATTACCATATAGACCAGGTAGGTCTTACTTAAAACTTTCCCTTTTTAAAATGGCATCTTATAAAGTGGGATTGGCAGGAGGCAGAATTGTATATGGTTAAAACACAGACACTAGAGTTGGACAGACCTGGGTTTAAATCTGTCAAACAAGTTATTTAATATCTCTAAGCTTCAGTGTCCTCACCTGTAAAATGGGGGCAATAATGATATTTACTTGCTAGGCTTGCTATATGAATTAAATGAGGTAATTCCTGGCTCTGTTAGCTATTATTGATGCATATATCCCACAGAGGGGCTAATATTTGTCAACAAATAATGAGTTAGTTATTCTGTTCTCAACTACTCTACTCATTCAGAGGCCTTGATGCCTCCAAGGTGGCAGTAGGAGAAGCACTGCAATGGGACTGAGCATCTGTGGGCTTTAGGGCAACCTTTTTGCTTGATTGAGTAGTTAGTTGATGGACATATATCATGTGTTTACTGACATCATCATGCTTCCCTATGCCGTTTCCTCTTCTGTGAAAAACAACAACAGTAGCACACCTTTCCTACCTGTCTCTGGGTTATTGTGAGATCAGATCCCTGATTCTCATCTTCATATGGTTTTCTTAAAGTATAAAGGCTTATAGCTTTTTCAAAAATAATTTAATGAATGCTTACTATATTCTAGGTGGTGTGCTGGGTCTTACATACAATACCTCATTTTAATCCTCACTACCAGGTGGGTATTATCATACCTACTTTGGAGACGAGGAAACTGAAGGCTGGGAGGCCAGATACTGCTCATTTCCCCCAAGGTCTCATAGCTAATAAGTGATAGAGCCAAGAATCAACTCCAAAGGTCTTAGAACCACTGTGCTTTAAAAAATAATACCATTAAAATACATTGTAAGTTTGAGATTAGTATTGGCCACATACAATTCATCTCTCTACCAGGTTCTACAGACATCTTTCTAATGTTGTAAAATCCTTAACTTGGAAAGCACACAGCAGTTAAATGAATGAAGGTGAAGCATTGGGTAGAAAACAGAATGATCAACACAGGATCCACTCCCTTAACTGGATGATTATTTATGGACACTGGCTAGTTACTTAACATTCCCTGTGACCGATGTATATTTGCTATGATTATTACTATGATTAACATATGTTTGAGGACACCAACCGGAGAAAATCCAGTCACCTGTGTTAATTGATCTCTACCTCCTGGTAGTTCCTGGATGGCAAACTGACATGCACAGCAAGCAGCTTCATGGACTGAAGTTGAGCAAGGTCTGTCAGAGAGGGAAAATCCATATTAATGATATGCTATAAAACACTTTTTGTTAGTTACATATATTCCTTTACTTTCATTTCCCAAGAATAGCTCAGCTGTCAAAGCATTTCCAAGATTTCCATAGATTCGGCAAATACTGTGCGATTGAATTATCGCTCTGAGAGAAGCTGCAATTAAAACACATTAATCATTGTAACAAAGGATCCTTATTGAGGCTGACAAAGGTGGTGAAATCTGATGAGTAATTAGTCTGGTTAATCTTTTAAAAGTGAATTAAACCGCTAACAAGTTAAATCACTGATTTTCAAAATAAGCCTCCAGGGTGAGCAGAGAATGGGAATAGTATCATCATTTTTAAAAGATATTTTCTTCCTCTTTCTCATCTCTGGGCTTGCATTGGAGGCCCTGGGTTAGAATAGTAGGACCCAGAGGAGCAGCTAGGGAGAATGAGGCTGGTCAAGCTTTTACCCACAATGATTTCTCAATATATCTAAGAAAGTCTTATAGTGGATGGAGGAGGAACCATGCATCGTGACCTTTAAATCTGATTCAGAACTAATATGGCGCCTGCTTACCAGCCATTCTCAATGACCTCTGGCGGATATATCATGCCATTCTGATTTCCTTCCCACCAACCATGACAACAGGGTCACTCTCGTATAACTTTGCCTTTTGCCCTTCCCTCTAGTCAGATGGCTTATTCTTCCAGACAACACCTCTCCTCTTTGCATGTCAATTACTGTGAAAAATCTGCCATACCCTGAAATGAACTGAGATGGGCAAATGTGAACTAATAAATCATGGGAACTGGAACAACAGGATAATCCTTTGGGCTAAAGTCTTCACTTTGGCTGAGCCTCCACAACTTTTGGGAGGTTTAGTGGATGTTGTGATGCATGGTCCAGATGCCCTTCAGGTAGGAAGGACTTATTTCTCCAGCTGCTAGGAGTGCTGCTGGCATTTGGCCCTCAGCTGTTAGCCTTGAGTGAAGAAAACTGCCCTTCCAAGGTCATGCTTCCTTCCAGGGGCAGCTGGTACCCATTTACTGATCAATGTGGCGGTATAAAGACTGGCTTGACTTGGAACAACTCCAAGGGGGTCATTCTGATTCTGGAGTTCCCTGGGGGGTTGGCTAAGGCCTTTGCTGGGAGAGTATCGCAGCCCAATTTCTCCCTTACCCAATCTTAATTTCTTCTCCTCCCTATAGGTATTAATCACAAGAGGACTCCCTAACAAATAAACTGACTGCTAAACTCCTTCTCGGAATCTGTTTACGGGGACTTCCCTGGTGGCACAGTGGTTAAGAATCCGCCTGCCACTGCAGGGGACACGGGATCAAGCCCTGGTCCTGGAAGATCCCACATGCTGCGGAGCAACTAAGCCCGTGCGCCACAGCTACTGACCCTGCGCTCTAGAGCCCGTGCTCCACAACAAGAGAAGCCACCATGATGAGAAGCCAACACACCACAACGGAGAGTAGCCCCTGCTCACCGCAACTAGAGAAAGCCTGCGCACAGCAATGAAGAGCCAACGTAGCCAAAAGTAAAATAAAATTTTAAAAAAATGATGGTGAGAAAGAACCATTAAAAAAAAAAAAAAAAGAATCTGCTTCCTGGAGGCCCCAACCTATAACAGAAGATGTCTCGCTTGTGAAATGGAGGTCTCTAATGACTATTGATCCAATAACAGCAGATGGGAAAAATGAATCGGCCAAGCTCCCAACTCAGCTACCTCCCAGCTCTACATTACTCCTACAGCAAGAGTATTCCTACCAACAGATGCTCTAGGAGATGTCAAGGATCATTCCAAAAGAGAGAGATCATTGCTATCACAGATGAAAGGCTTATAGCTTTGAAAAGCAGGTGGATCTTAAATTATTTAAGCCTAGTTACTTAACTTTTCTGGTTTTTTTCATCTGCACAGTGATCAGGTACAATCAGCCTCACAAGTTTATTGGTTAATTGAGATGATATATGGCAGTTGCCTGATCTCAAATCCTACCAAGGGTTTATTTCTCTTTTATACATCCTCCATCCCCCTCACCCTGTTTTCCAGATTCCAGGAAAATCACTGCTTTTCTTTTTTTCTGACTGAGTTCATCTAATCCACGGGTATTTTGGAGATTCCATTTCAGGTGTTCATTCACCCATCTTCAGACCATGAAGTCTCTCTTGAGACAGCTGGTCTCATCAATTAGATGTCCATACCTGTTAGTTCTAATGCGGGTGAGGGCACCTCATTGTAATTCCCTGGGAACTGACAACACTTTGCATTCGGAAAATACAGGGGACAGCTCAACGTTGTTGAAGAGTGATTATTTTCAGTTTAAATCTGGGCTCTGTTCCTGGTTTCGAGTATGGCAGCCACTTCTCCCCACTAAACTGTTAAGTTCTATGAGGGCAAGTAGCATATCATCTCTTGTCACCCACCAGATCTAGCCTGGAGGGAGTGTTTTTTGCCAAATTACTTGGGGATGTTGACAAAGAAACTGATAAGAGAATAAGCAATACCCATAAAAATTACATGTCCTGGGATCTCCCCAATCACTCTGTGGCAATTTCCAAGCCTCTTTAAATATTCTTTAATCTCCTGGTAATGCTGCTGTCATAGGTAATTGTGAATGAAAGCCAAATTTACAATGTTTTTGTCATGAATCAGACCCCTGTCTCTATTGCAGCAAATCTAAAAAAAACTGTAAAAGTATCAAGGGAAAGTTTGGGAATCTGGCTAAAATTGGACCTCAGAGAAAAGTGAAATAGAATTGAGATTTTTGGCCCAGGATAAGGGAAGTTCTACTAACTCCCTTCCCATGAAAAAGTCTATTGTGAGGAAACTGTTCAAGTCTTCCTTGACTTCCCATAGGAACAAACAAGATTGAAGCAGAAAGGACTTTGGCCAGGATTACTGAAGAATACTGAAATCTTTAGAGATTAAATCAGACTACCGTGTGTGTGTGTGTGTGTGTGTGTGTGTGTGTGTGTGTGTGTTTTACTTTCAGGATTGCTTTTTAAATATTTCGTTTTATAGCTATGTAACATACTAACATGGTTTCAAAGTCAAATCTACAAAACAATGTATGTTCAAAGAATTCTAACTATCCCTGATCCTCCTATTCTATTCTCTCCCTCTCCCCTAAGAAACATGTTTATGTTTTTAGTTTGTTTTGGCCTATATCCCTTTTAAAATCTCTTTTGTCCTTTTTACTCGCTATTACCCTTCAGTCACTCATTTATCTATTGAGCTTATTATTCTCTTTTGTGTTTTCCTAATTTAGTCTTCATTTCTGAAATAAAATTTTCCCTTTATTTAGAATTCTTTCCTGGGTTTATCACTTCATTTCCAAAATTTTCAGATTCCACATTGTCATTCTTTTATATCTTCTATCAGTTTAAAAAGTTTCTTTTAGCTTGTCTGAAATATTAGGACCTTCTTTTCATCCGTTTCATGAATATCTTTTTCTAAGTGGCTTTTAGTTTGGGGATGAAAATATTTCCTTGATGCCCCAGCCTCAGTGCCCTTCATCTTCACTCCTCTCTACACACCTCCACCCAGGACCCTTCCCAGGAACTGACTCAGAGATTCTACCCTCCCCACTCCTCCAGGGTCTTGATCCCCCCAATTTCTGTCACTTCTCTTTTTCTGTACTTTTAACCCCTCCCTCTCTACTGGAACTTTTCCTTCAGCATATAAACACGTTTGTATCTTTAAAAATTAATACAAACTGCCCCCCTTCCCATCTTATATCCCCCTTTAGCCATCTTCTTCTCTTATTCTTCTCTTAGCCAACCTTTTGCAAGGTCTGTCTGCATTACTTCATTTCCCATTCCCTTGTCAACCCGTGTCAGTTAGCCGATGCCTACACCCCTCTGCTGAAACTCTTGCTGAGGTCACAAGTGACTTGCTGGTTATTAAATCCAATTACCTTTTTTCAGTTTTTATCTTATGTGACCTGTTTCTACTCTCAGACACCACTGACTACCTCCTCTTTCCTGAAATGCTCTCCTTTGCTAGCTCTCTTTCTTTGATTTCTCCTTCCTCAGCCAACCACATAAATTTGCTATTCTGGGGGTTCCATCCTTGGCCCTGGTCTCTCCTCTTATCGCCTGCCCTCCCTGGGTGATCTCATTCACTGCCTCAATTTCCACTACCACTCCAATGTTAATTATTTCCTATTTACTACTTATTTATTTATACCCCTCCTTATTAAAAAATTAACTTAAGACATTTTAGTAAGATATACAGTGAAAAAATTAACGGAGAAAATCTAGGCAAAGGGTGGTGGTGGGGGTCTACAAATAAGGTAGAACACAAAAATGTGGTTCTAAGATTTCTTGTAGCCAGTGCAAAAAGGAAAACAGAATAACGCATACATTTCACTATTTGCTCAATAGAAGCACAGAATTCACGGTTTTGAGACACAAGCTTTTGGTCCCATAAAGGGGACATTGCACTGTGTTATGGTGTGTTCTCAAAATATATTAGTATAGTAAATACAATGATGTTTTTCTACAAGCTGTTTTTTTTTTTTAATAATGCCTCCCAATATTGATGAATTTGATTTTTTTTAAAGTAAACATATGGAGGGCCAAAACAATGTAGTCCAGGTACTCTGGTCTTTGACAACAAAGCCCATATTTTCAAACATTTTAACAGCAGACTTCTTTGTTAAAAAGGAAATCTCATGCAGAGTACTAACACTTAAAACCAATTCAGTTGGAACAGCTCTGATTGAAAGGGAAAGCAGAGCCCTTGTCCTTCCATCTCCTGTCCATCCCCACCTGCCCGAGGACCTCTGAGGTTCAGCAGAACAACTCCTGGAAGCCACCATCCCGATTTAGATTCAAGGGTAAATTCAGAGAATCACATCTTGAATGAAATGCTTTAGACAATTCTCCGTAATTATACCCCGAAGCTGAACTTTGGATCAGTATTGACTAAGGACATGGGGCAACAATTATTCAGCAATACACTAAGCAAATTAGCACAACCATTTTGGAA